AAAACGCGTAATGATGTACCAAAGTACCATGCCGCCAGAAAATTAGCTTTTTAAACGTAAAACTCTGTGAATATGGTTTTTGCGATTACCAGTAAAAAGGTGTGTGAGCAATACAGTGATCTAACCCATACCTATCACTATGTTAAAAATGATCTATAAAGAACACAAAGAAGCAGTATATAATTAAAATATATGATCTGAACTAAAAGACCAATAGTTTGTTACATGTATGCTGTTACCCTAAATGTTTTTCTATTATATCGAAAAGCGTGGTTTTATACCAACTCTGATTTTAAAAACTTTTATTATGCTGTAATATTTTAGCATTTATGATGACGATATATTAAATTCTGATTATAGACAAAAACATTTTGTAAACACGAATAGTGTTAAACAATTTCATTATATTCTAAAGTAATTTTTTTTTACATTTATAATTAAATGTGTAGATATATACATATTTATATTAAGAGAGTGATCATTTCCCCTATTTCACTTGTCTGAAATAATTTCCCAGGAATTATTATGTAAGAAATTTTTTACAAGAATTACAAAACAGATTGTGTTACGTTCATGGTTTTTGGTTGTAGTGTGTGTATATATATATTTTTTTGTTTAGATTGATACAATTTTTGTTTTGTCGGCCTACATTATGTGTTTTTACTTTCTCGTATATACGAAGTAGGCCTATAGAGAAAAGTCTTGTAATCGTGCAAAAAAAAAATCGAGATTTTTACAAATCTCGACGTTTTACACCTCACTGATACGGAAAAACATAATTTTGCAATCTTGTCCGTATGTCTGTGTGTCTGTGTGTGTGTGTGTCTGTGTGTGTAAACAAGATTACTTGAGTACCGTTACAGCTAGGTTGATGAAATTTCATATATAAGTATTATATCAAAATCGTAGATCCGTATCAACTTTTGAGTGATTTCCGATAACCGGAAGTGGTACTTTTTCTACTTTGAATTTTTCAAAAGCCTATAACTTGAGTACTAATTCAGATAGATAAATGAAATTTCACATGTAAGTAAAAGATCTAATTCTCTACCGGAAGTACTAATTTACGCTATTTTTTATTTCTCAAAAACGCATGTAAATTTATAAAGTACTAATAATATTGCGCACTATTACGCACATTTGGTTTTGGTGCTCGCTTGGTGCGCAATTTTTTTTTTCTACTAGATTTTATTCTATTTTTAAAAGTTTAAGTAAACAAAAACCATGTCTATATTCCGAGTTGACATCCCACGTAGTATTATATTAGAATATTCGAGAGAGTTTAGGGGAGATCACTCCCGGTTTATTTCTTCAGACTGCTACTTTCAATTTATTTTACATCATAGCGAAGTAATGACATACATCTAGTATATATATATATATATATATATATATATATATATATATATATATATATATATATATATATATATATATATATATCACGTATATAGAACGTGTTAAAAATTCGGCGCCTTTTTTTGCTCTTTTCGCTCCCCCTACTACGAAAACCTGGATACGCCTCTGGCTCTCACACACCGCCGAACAACACGTTTTCCTGGGCGTCCAGCACAGTGACATCCTTTCCCACATTCGTTTTCTCCGAAAAAAATAGATCTCTCTCTCTCTTTATGTGTGTGTGTGTGTGTGTTTGTGTGTGTGTTTTGATGTGTGTATGTGTGGCTGTGTTTCTGTAAACACGATAACTTGATGAAATTGTATATATTAGTATAATATCAAATGTGTAGTTTTGTATCAACTTGTCAGCGATTGCCGGTAATCAGAAGTGAAACATTCTACTTTTGGTTTTTTTAAAAGCCTATAACTTGGGTGATGTTTCTAGATAAATGAAATTAATTTCACATATACGTAAAAGATCTAATTCTCTGCTTTCTGTCCGTCAAAGTTTGTGTAATTTCCGTTGACCGGAAGTAGTTATTTCCTATTACTCAACGGACAAAATTGCAAACGCTGTTTTTCCGACTCGGGGAGGTGTAAAACGTCGAGATTTGTGAAAATCTCTATTTCGATTTTTTGCACGATTACAATACTTCCTCTTACACTTCGTATACGAGAAAGTGAAAGTTAATTTATATGACTTACTGTAACTCAATGTAAATTCCACTTTTACAAAAAGTCATCTTCTGAAAAGTGGTAATGGAATACTGTATTCACATCTAAATATAATGATACCACAACAGGGTATCAACTTCCGTGATGTAAGATCATACTCAGGAAACAACTCAATGTACAACTACTCACAATAATTGTCTCACCAGCCCAAGGATTTGCATAATATCGTGTACTTATATAAAATGAGTCAGCAGATCGCTTTGTGCTCACATGTTCTTTGGTCACATTTGGCTGTTTCTGTTAGAGTGGTTACTGTTAGTGTGGTGCTTACCTGGGTTTGTTTTTGTTAGTGTGGTGCTCACCTAATTTTTGTAAGTGTGGTGCTTACCTGTTGTTTTTTTTTGTATGTGTGGTGCTTACTTTTTTTTTCTTAGTGTTGTGCTCACCTGGTGCTTACCTTTTTTACTTTCTCGTATATACGAAGTATAGAGAAAGTCTTGTAATCGTGCAAAAAAAAAAAAAATCGAGATTTTTACAAATCTCGACGTTTTACACCTCACTGATACGGAAAAACATAATTTTGCAATCTTGTCCGTATGTCTGTGTGTCTGTCTGTCTGTCTGTCCGTGTGTAAACACGATAACTTGAGTACCGTTACAGCTAGGTTGATGAAATTTCATATATAAGTATTTTATCAAAATCGTAGATCCGTATCAACTTTTGAGCGATTTCCAATAACCGGAAGTGGTACTTTTCCTACTTTGAATTTTTCAAAAGCCTATAACTTGAGTACTATTTCAGATAGATAAATGAAATTTCACATGTAAGTAAAAGATCTAATTCTCTACCTTCTGTTAAATTTTGAGTAATTTCCGTTGACCGGAAGTAGTAATATACGCTACTTCCGATTTCTCAAAAAACTAATGTAAATTTTTAAAGTACTAATAATATTGCGCACTATTATGCACTTTTTATTTGGCGTTCACTTGGTGTGCACTTCTTTTGTCTACGAGATTTTATTCTATTTTTAAAACTTTAAGTATTTAAAATTGATTAAAAATCATGTCTATAGCCCCAGTTACCATCCCCTGTTGTTTTATCTATAATAATAGTTTCGCTGTCTGTCTATCTATCTATCTATCTATCTGTCTGACAAGAACGCTCTAGAGAAAAGACAAGCAATTTAAAAACATGCATAGTAATTCGAAAAACGAAGTATGACGTCGACACATTTAGCGCACAGAGTAGAAAATAATCTCACAGTAATATAATGACGTCATTGATTCTGGCGTAAATATTGAATAAAGAGGAAATGTTGTCTAATCTAAGTGGTTTGCGTGAAGAGTTTCTTGCATACAATTCTTCGGGTAGGGGCGAAGCCCCACCCCCAGCGTAAGAACGTCTGAGCCCCTCCCCCTCCCCAACTCAAAAGAAATTTCCTCATCGATACTCTATAATAAAATTACCGCCTAATTAATGTGTCTAATCTAAAAAGTGGTTTTCTTGCAATGGGACGGTAGGTAGACATGATTTTTTTTTGGGGGGGGGGGGTGGTGGAGGGGTTGGGGGGGGGAGTGTGTGTGGGGGGGTGGTGTGTGTGGGTGGGGGGGGGGGGGTGTGTGGGGGGGTGGGTTGGTTTCAGTGTTTCTTTCAGACTTTTTCCTCCCCGGAGAGGGGTGGGGGTACTTGAAATTTTCGGGGGCGGGGTAGAATTTTCTGGGAGGGGGCGGACACTGGAAAAAGTATATAATTATATTTCGTTGAATGGGACGGTAGACATGTTTTTTTGGGGGTGGGGGGTGGTGGAGGGGTGGGGGTGGGGGGTGGTGTGTGGGGGGTGGGGTGGGGGGGTGTGGGGGGTGGGTGGGTTGGTTTCAGTGTTTCTTTCAGACTTTTTCCTCCCCGGAGAGGGGTGGGGGTACTTGAAATTTTTGGGGGCGGGGATAGAATTTTCTGGGAGGGGGCGGACACTGGAAAAAGTATATAATTATATTTCGTTGAATGGGACGGTAGACATGTTTTTTTTTGGGGGGGGGGGGTGGGGGGTGGGGGGCGGTGTGTGGAGGGGGTGGTGTGTGGGGGTGAGGGGTGGGGGGGGGGGTGGGGGTGGGGGTGGTGTGTGGGGGTGGGGGTGGTGTGTGGGGGGTGGGTTGGTTTTAGTTTAGAGAAAAGGGACAGCACTATCAGCCTAGCGCCCGTTGTACCCTTCCTCAACGGGCCATTTTTCTCGTATAAGAATATTCGAGAAAGTTAAGGGGCGATCACTCCCGGTTTATTACATTACAGTATACAGAGCATAGAGAAAGTATTGTAATCGTTAACAAAATCGTGCATTTTTCTGTGTGCGCAAATTCCTGCTTGCGCTTTTTTCTGTGTGCGCTTTTTTTTCGTTTGCGTTTTTTTTCTGTTTGCGCTTTTTTTCCATTGCGTATCATTCTGGTCATTCAAAATTATTATATAAAATTTGTAGTTCTATGTCAACTTTTTAGCTATTTCCAATAACCGGAAGTGGGACCTATTCTACTTTTCGTTTTTTCAAAAGCCTATAACTTAAGTACTGTTGTAGATAGAAATTTCGAGAAAGTTTAAGGGAGATAACTCACTGTTTTTTTTTTGTTAGTGTTGTGCTTACCTGTTTTTTGTTTTTGTTTCGTTAGTGTTGTGTTTACCTGTTTTTTGTTTTCTATTGTTAGTGTGGTGCTTATCTTTCTACAATTGTAATGTATCTAACGATTTTAAAGTATTTTTTCTGGACTTACTTGTGAATAAATCAGTTCGCTTGATCTAGGTGTGTTTAGAGTTTAGAGCAATGATTTTCAACGAAGGGTCCAGACCCTACGGTGTGCCGGGGAGGGGGGAGTGATTGGCCATGTATGTACTGGTGGTTTCCAAGCGGAAAATACATATTTTATTTTCAGTCAAGAGAAATGCCAGGCGATATCCCTAGAGATGTGTTGATGAATAGGTTTCAGTACCTGGCTGATGAAGACCCTAACAGAGATGGATATGTTTTTGTCAGCCCGACCATGAAGCGAATTCCTTTATCGAGATACAATCTCTGGGACTTGTGTGGAAGATACGCCTCAAGGCTTCGGCGTTATGGTATTAAGGTACACGCTTATAGTGGTAGCAATTAGATGTTCATGTGGTAAGGTACACGCTAATGGTTGTATCAATAACTAAGGTACAGGCTAATAGTGGTATCAATTATAATTTACGGCATTAAGGTAGGCCTTTCAGGCTATAAGTGGAGTATCAGTTAGACCCTACGGTATTAAGGTACGCCCTACAGTGTTAAAGTAGAGTAGTTTAAGTTAGACGTTATGGTATTAAGGTAGGCTCTACAGTCTTAAAGTAGAGGCTAATAATAGAGCGATATGAAACGTGTTGAGTTTAGAGACTGAAATATGACTTCATCACCAAAATTACCCTTCATCTGTCAATTGCATTCTTCAACCAAACCAATCCTATTTGTCCACTTCAATCACCAATCTAACCAACCTCATTTGTCTAACCACCAACCAACCCTATTTGTCCCTAGACTGGTGATGTTGTGTGCTCTATGATAAAAACATCCCGGACGAAACTGATCTCGATGTTTGGTGCCATAGCTGCTGGGGCTGTAGTTGTCAATGGCGTGGTAAGATGGCGTCTATGACTAACTACATGGTGTATTTGTCCTGAAATTATAGTTCACTTTATTCAGAAAGTGAACCTATCTGTATATATATTCATGCTCTCTTTAACCAGACTATACAAGCGGACGGTCAAGATATTTTTCGAGTCCTCAATATTTCAAAGTGTAAGACAATTATAGCGTCGTGGGAAAACCCGGAGTTTGTTTTTCTTCAGAAGTTTTTAAAGATTGGAGAAGCGGATCTTGTTGTAGGGTAGGTATGTAACTAACAAGTGGATGGCAATCCCACATACTGCTCACACAATATTAGTAAGGTCCATTATATATATATATATATATATATATATATATATATATATATATATATATATATCCTATTTGTTATATATATATATATATATATATATATATATATATATATATATATATATATATATATATATATATATATATATACTAGCCGTCCCGGCCAGGCCCTGCTCTGGCCTCTGTGAAAAACCTTTCTGTTAAAGACCATTACCTGTGTTTTTAGTAATCATCATATTGCCCACCCTAACCACAACCAAGCAAAACCAAAACAACAAAACGCAAACATAACGCTAACACAATTACAAAAGCAAACGAAAACAAAAACCTAACAACAAATCCAAACAAAACCACAAACACAAATACAAACACAAAGAAAAAAACAAACGAAAAAGCAAACAAAAACAAACCAAATACAAACGCAAAACCAACCACAAACACAAATACTAACACAAACCCAAAAACGAAAAAGAAAGAACAAAAACGAACCAAATCAAAACGCAAACGCAACCACTAACGCAAACCCAACCTAAACACAAAGAAAACACTAACGCGAACATAAACGCAAAGTGCTCACAGTCTAGCCCGAATCGCACCATGCTGGGGCGCCGGCGGAATCGCCTGTTTCAACTTAATAAACGACTATAGTACCCCAACTTATTCATAGTCTTTTGCACTCACTTAAACGAACGTAGGCGCCAAACCGAACACGGGAGGCCCCGGGCCCCAAATAGCACCCTGTCTGAGCGCCAGAGGACGCCCGGAATAGATTCACTTAAAGGCTATAATAACCTTTCTTATCCATAGTCTAACGCACTGTTTAACGCGAAATTATGCACCATAGTGCTCACAGGTTAGCCCAATGCGCCAAATCGAACCCTGCTGGGGCGCCGGCGGACGTGCCTGTTTCAATTTAGTGAACAATTATAATACTCCAAACTTATCCGTAAACGGAAAGAAATAACATTTAGGACATGAAGGACCTGGCTTTCTAACTGTTATTGATTAAAAATAATCAGAAGAAAACAGTACGTTCAGTGTATGGAATAAATAAAATGCAGTATTAAAAATACCTATAACATTGCACTTAATCAATCCCCGCTAATTATATAATTTTTTTCCTAACACCAAAAACAAATAATAAAAGTAAATTCTTTCTCCCCTCGATTAAAATTTTTTTTAAAGGGAAGTAACTGTGTTTTCCAAATCAAGGGACGTTATGAGAACTAAAGGACAAAATGTAAATACATTTCAGACACAATTTTATAAATTTTATAAACGTTGATACATTTTATTTTTAATGTTATGTAATGTTCATAATTGAAAATTATTATTCTAAGTATATAAAATGAACATTGTTTTTAAAGACTTTCAATATTAATTTTTTAGCTCATAAATTTAGACCATGAGCACTTTAATAATCTAACAATCTAACACGTGAATCCATAAAGTTTTTTCTTATATTCCTTTGTAATCCACGACAAACATTTTTACAAACATACAGAATTGAACTTTATATTATATATATATATATATATATATATATATATATATATATATATATATATATATATATATATATATATATATATATATAACCAAATCCAAAAATAAACGCAAACATATTAGCGAACGTAAACGTAAAAACAAACAAAAATGCAAACACTAACGCAATTACATAAACAAACTCAAACGAAAACTAAGAGCAAACCTAAGCCCAAATACAAACCCAAATACAAACACAAACGTAAACGTAACGCAAACATAAACACAAACGAAAAAGTAAACAAACGCGAACGCAAACAAAAACACAAACGCAAAGGAAAACCTAGCGCAAACATAAACGAAGACGTAAACATCATCATTAACATTAACACAAAAGCAAACACAAATAAGCAAACTGAAACGCAAACACAAACGCAAACATCAAAACAAACTTTTTAAAAAAGCGTTATTTTTTTAAATTATTTTTTTTAAATAACTTATATATTTTTTTAAAAAAAGGGATGTAATGTGTACATTTTTTTTTCAAATTAAATTGGAATTTGTGTAAAGTATAGTACATTTGTTGCAATTTTTTTCACATATTTCAATCAAAATGATAAGTTTAAAAATAAAAGGACAGTTTAAAATGTATCAATATTGAGGTTTTTAATTATCAAGTTTTATTTTTTTTTCTTTAAGAGCATTACACTGTAGCGATAAAGTCGATTTTTTTACTCTATGCATGTCCTCCAATTACAGTGCAGAGAGCATACATCCAGTACAGTGTGACCAGGCCCCGTGGTTGAAACAGCTGATCGTGTACGAGTTAAACAGCCACGAAGACCACACAGCTTTCCTCTCTCGTCTAGCTGATGAAGAATTCTATGTCGCCCCCGTCACGGCCGATGACGAGGCTTACATTTTCTTGACTTCCGGCAGCACCGGCTATTCTAAGATGGTGCCGAGAACAAACAGGTAAAACAAAAGAACTGATGTGCATGAGAAATAGGTAGAGATTCTTTAGAGGGCCAAAAACTACTGAAAGTTGTATTGTTTATATAAATATTATTTCCAGTAATTTTTTTTTTTAAATTCAGTCCATTTCAAAGAAGACAATGATCCTTCATTTTTTTTAAAACCCTGCCGCTTTAAGAAAATAAAATCCTGATTGGTTGAAACGGTTGCTGTGGTACACTATAATAAATGCATACATCTTAAAGTTAAAAGGCCACAGGTCTTACACTGCTTTAATATAGGATGCTAAATTACGTTAAAAATGATGGTAATCTCTACACTGTTACATTCTGCTAATTGGAAAACACCGGAATATTAACATCGACTAATTCTATCAACTAAGTAGGAATAATTTTCACAGTATATCTTATTTGACTTAGTAGGTACGTGGTATATATACATATACTTCTTTTTACTTGATAGAGAGTGCTTAGCAATCGCAGATTCCTTCAAGCAAGACATCCACATTGTCCTCAACAACCGTATCATGGAGTGGATGGCTGGATTCCCCACTTTATACCTGGGGTCTGGGGCTACGATCATAGTGCAAGAATACCTGGATAGTTCAACCACCATGGATGTGGCAGGTATTTGGAACATTGCCTGCGACGAAGGAGCAGATGCTGCCCTGCTTTTACCGGTAGAAATTATAGCCGTTAAGGAGGTAAACAATAACTCAAAATAATACAAAAGTAAACCCGAACAAAAAACACAAACTTAAATGCAAACACGAAAGCAAAGTGCTCACAGTCTAGCCCGGGGCGCCATAATCGCATCCTGCTGAGGCGCTTGCGGAGCCGCCTGATTCAACTTATTAAACGACTATAATACCCAAACTTTGCACTCACTTAAACGAACGTAAGCATATGGACGAACACGAAAAGGCCCAGGGCGCCAAATAGCACTCGGGGTGCTAGAGAACTTTATGAATTTGATTTAATGAAGGACTTTAGTAACCCTTCTTATCCATAGTCTATCCGTAGCCTTTATAAAATAAACATATGCGCCATAACGCACACGGAAAGACCCGGGGAGCAAAATAACACCTGTCGGGGCGCCGTAGAACGCCCGGATTCGATTTAGTTAATGATTAAAGTAACCTTTCTTGTCCAAAGTTAATCGCACTGTTTAGATAGAACGTGTGCACCATAGCGCTCACAGGATAACCCAGGGCGCTAAATCGAACCCTGCCGGGATGCCTGTGGGCGTACCTGATTCGATTTAGTGAACGACTATGATACCCTCAGCTTGTCTGCAAACCGTAAGATAGAAGTAAACATACAGGAAATTTTAAAGTATCTTCTGAACTGTTATTGATTTAAAATAATAATTAGTAAACAGTATGTTCAGTGTATAAAATAAATAAACTTTCTCGAATAATCTTATATAACAGTAAGGTGGATAGCAACTCGGAATATAGACATCATTTTAATCAATTTTTAATTGCTCAAAGTTTTTAAAAAAATAATAGAATCTCGTAGAAAAAAAAAGAATTGCGCACCAAGTGAACTGCAAACAATATCTGTAAAATAGTGCAGAATATTGGTACTTTAAAAATTCATATTTGTTTTTTGCGAATTCGGAAATAGCGTAAATTACTACTAACGGTCAACGGAAATTACTCAAAGTTTGACAGAAAGTATATAATTGGGTCTTTAACTTACAGATGAAATTTCGTTTATATATCTTAAACAGTTCTCAAGTTATAGGCTATTGAAAAATCGTGACTAGAATAAGTTCACCACCGTTTGCCGAAAATCGCTGAAAAGTTGATTACGAACTACAAATTTGATATACCTATATATGAAATTTCATCAACCTAGCTGTAACGGTACTCAAGTTATCGTGTTTACAGACGTACACACACAAACACACACGCGGACAGAATTGCAAAACCCAGTATTTCCAACTCGATTACGCATAAAACGCCGAAATTTTGATATATCTGGAATTATAATTTTTGCCCAATTAAAATATGTCCCCTATACTCCGTATATGATGAATTACTGAGGTGTAAAATGGTGAAAACTGTCAAAATTTCTTGTGTCTTTTGTGCACGATTACAATACTTCCTCTATACTCTGTATACGAGAAAGTAATAAAAGGCAGTATTTAAAACGTCCGTGATGTGTATGTCTGTCTTGTGTGTTAGTGTATTTTGTGTGTATTTGTGTAAGTGCAGGTATTTAGCTGTGTAGTTTAAAACACTGTGTAATAAGTGATGAAAGTTTCAGTTCAACTATTGGTCCCTGTGGTGGTGACCACACAATCCCTCTGTTAGCCGAGGTCATTAAACTGGATGAGCTCTAGTTCATCTGCCCTGTGTGCCTTGTGCATGAATGAGAAAAGATGATGATGAGTTGTCCTTGTAGGAATGTGGGTTGACACAACGTGTGTCTAAAGTGTATCAAGTGTCAAGGAATAGGGCTGGTAAGTAGGTCGTCAACCAGTTCTATGGCTCATGCAGGTTTTATTGAGCCGTAGAACTTGTTGGTGACCTACTTACAAGCCCTATTAAAGCCAGAATCTTAATTTCGTTTTTGTGATGGAAACTTAAAGAAGTTTACGTTAAATGAAACTTTTCGGTTATGTACAGATTAGGTTTTATGTTTAAACTTAGATATAGATCAAGGTTGAGGTGAATCTATTTTATTCTTGCAATATAATTTTTGCTCTCAGGCTTTTGATAACGGCGCAGTTACAAGGCGGATCAAAAGAATAATTACCGGAGGATATCCATTAAAAAGGGTAAGGAATGGACGGTTTAACATCGGTCAGGTCCAATTTTTTTTAGAAATTCAAGAGTTTCTTCCTTCTCGTAAATTAGGCCTACTTTTAGAAATAGTTTATTTGGTTTGATTTGAAGTCGTTTGCTATGAATATACGATTACATTTTCGCACATTATTTTCAAACACACTACATTTATAATTTCACACACATACTATATATATATATATATATATATATATATATATATATATATATATATATATATATATATATATATATATATATATATATATATTCACTCGCTATACATATATTTTCAAACAGTATGTTCTACACTTATTTTTTAAAAAAAAACAATCTAGTGCGTGTATGATCTGTTGAACATCATCTGTGATGAGTACCATGTGAGCTACGGCACGACAGAGATTGGGTACACCATCATGGGTGTAGTCACAGGGGATATGAAGGTAAGAGAATTTAGCACCAGAACATTGGGGGCTTGAATGTGAGAGAATGTAAAATCAGAACATTGGGATTGTGGGCTTGTAGGTGAGAGAATGTAAAATCAGAACATTGGGATTGTGGGCTTGTAGGTGAGAGAATGTAAAATCAGAGCATTGGGATTGTGGGCTTGTAGGTGAGAGAATGTAACATCAGAATATTGGGATTGTGGGCTTGTAGGTGAGAGAATGTAACATCAGAACATTGGGATTGTGGGCTTGTAGGTGAGAGAATGTAAAATCAGAGCATTGGGATTGTGGGCTTGTAGGTGAGAGAATGTAACATCAGAATATTGGGATTGTGGGCTTGTAGGTGAGAGAATGTAACATCAGAACATTGAGATTGTGGGCTTGTAGGTGAGAGAATGTAACATCAGAATATTGGGATTGGGATCTTGACAATCGTTACCCAGCAAACTCTAGCAGTTGGGAAAAACGAAATCTAGATCATTATCGCACAACGTTTTTGTTTTTCTAGATACTGAAATGGGTATAAAGCAGGCTGACAACAATGAGCGATTTAATGCTTACGCTTGTGATAGGTGTTCTCACCAATGGGGACTGGGGGTGCGGTCCGTAAAGCTACACCATTTAGGAGGTGACACCAAATAGAAACATTTACTGCAAAAAAAAATGTTTTATTAAATTAACATATAAAAGAAGTAGAGGAAGATTTTAAAATGAAAATTTATTGGATGGAGAAAGGTGACACCCTGAGTTTTGAAACAGTGTGACATTCGGCCTTTAAGCGACTCTGCTTGTTGTTTTAAGTGGACACGGTTAATATACTAGCTATGACAAAATCAAGAGCTAGATGGTATGTATAAATCCTGCTGATAAGTTCTGCCTGACACAACATCTCTTTTTTCGGTCACCGGGATGAAGTGAAAGCCTTCTACACAGGTGATAATCTCTGCCTGTCAGAGCATCTTATATTTCTGTACCAGGATACAGTGAAAGACTGCTATACAGGTGATAATCTGTGCCAGTGATAACATCTCATATTTCTGTACCAGGATACAGTAAAAGACTGCTGCACAGGTGATAATCTGTGCCAGTGATAACATCTCATATTTCTGTCTCCAGGATACAGTCAAAGACTGCTACACAGGTGACCGTCTTGTGGGCAGCACACAGATGAAGATAGTTGACGAGAAAACAAATATGGAGATCACGTCCAGAAACTGCCCTGGGAATTTGTATTTTAAAGGTGGGAAAAGAAGACCTCTAGAATATGTGCATTTTATGAAAGTAGGCCTCTACAATATGCTCATTTTATGAAAGTAGACCTGTAAAAAAATATGTCATTTTATGAAAGCAGGCCTCTTCATCTACCTTTAACGATAGTTTGTATTACAATTACTTTATAACAATCTTTTAAACTTGCTTCTTCTGTCTGCCGTCAGTCTGTCGACAGTAGGTCTGTCGTCATAGATAAAAACGGGCGAGCAAAATTTCGGGCACTTATAATTAACATATTTGTTTCAAAGTTGGCACGTGTTCAAGACTTAAAGACAATACAATCTGACATCATATTTGACTTAATTGGAAACCTAATTAATTTTTTATGAATCAGTTAAAATTTTCTGAAATTAGCAGGCAGTCTTGTACTACTTTCCCCGCAAATTGTACGCGCATTATCATGTTCATTTGGTGCGCAATAGTTTTTAGTCATGCAACTCTATTGTATTTAAAGTACTGAAAACAATTGCGTAAAAAAATGTTTTAATAACAAGCTTTTATATAATAATGCACTGAAAGGAGAAATGTAATGTTTTTCACAAATATATAATAATACAGTACTATTTAAATTACTATAAAGAAAAGCGTGGGTCTTTCTTTCTTAATATTAGTAACATTAATAACATTCTTTATAGTAATTTAAATAAAAGTGCATCATTATATATTTAAAGGAAATCATGTTAGTGCACAATTACATAAAAGCTTGTTATCAAGACGTTTTTATGCAATTTTTGTTAAATAAGTTTACATCTAGAATTACCTATTAAGAATTCTGCACAAGTAGGCCCTACTTTTTTCTAGCATATGGAGTAGACCTACAGATAAAGTATTGTAATCGCGCAAAACATCGACAAACTAAACCGAGATTTTGACAAATCTCTGTTTTGCAATCTTTTCTGTATGTTTTTATTTATGTTTTTGTTTGTATGTGTATGAACACGGTAAATTGAGTTTCTTTCAGTTAGGTGGATGAAATTCCGTATACAAACAACACATATTATACATAGGTTTCTTTAATTTTTTAGCGAATTCCGGTAACTGGAAGTGTTGTTTTTTTTTTAAATTCTATATGAGTTTTCTTTTAAATGTTCAGCATTAGTAATTGTCAATCATAATCATGTAAAGCTGTATATTCAAAGAAATTTTCGCCTTTATGTTGTTTTTTACGAAAAGCCAACGGTTTTGTCACACGCTTATCTACCATTGTTAGCCCGATTCCTCTGAAAGTGCCATCCCCATCTTTATTGTTATATACGAATATACGAAAAGGTTCAGGGTAGCTAAGTAACGTTTAGTTAGTCGGTGTAGCCTATATACCCACTCGGTAGATAGATAAAGAAAGCAGCACAGAGCAGTCTAAGGATTTTAAATGTATTTAAATTCATAATCAATCAATCCAAACTATAAAAACGCGTCATTGATTATTTAAAAATCTCACCATTTTTTAAAAGGTATTTCTGTAGAGTTGAAACACAATATAGATCTAATTTCTTACCGTTAGGTGGGACAATCCTGCGTCACTTCAAGGATTTGGATTCAAATACATGCGGTGCATTTAAAGAGGATGGATGGTTTGATTCAAGTGATGTGGGATATATTGAGTAGGTTGGATAGAATGTTATCTGCATACAAGTAAAACTAGTGGTGTAAATTAAAAGTGATATGTTTGTAAGTAGAAATTGTGATTTAACTATAATGATATATATTTGTAAGTATATCTAGTCGTGTAACTTTAAAGTGATATGTTTTTCATTAGTTAATAAGCGAGGTGAATCAGAAATGAAGTAAATTATATTTAGAAGCAGTAAATCATGCGCAGCATGTATGATTGTATAAGTGTATGTGTGCATGTGCGTATATTGTATGTGTGAATGTGTGTGTTTTATGCATCCTTCTTTATTCGTTTATATGTGTATGCGTATAGATGTGTATGTATATTTGTGTTTATATGTAAATATTTATATATAAATGTGTTTATATGTGTACGTGTACAAAAATAAGATGTGTTTACTTCTAAGAATCAGACGTAAACGTGTCACTTGCAATACAAAAACTCCTAACCTTTCTTCTCAGTGAGTCCGGGGGTGTGTACGTTATGGGGAGAACGTCTGATTTCATCACGGCTGGCTCTGCTGTAGTCCACCCCCAGTGGTTGGAAGAGTGGATCATCAAGTGTCCTGGTGTCGCCTCGGTCGTCGTCGTAGGTCTGTTCTACGTGTTTCATCTACTCCAGGGGTCTCCAAACTACGGCCCGCGGGCCGTATGCGGCCCGCGAAGTCCTTTCATCCGGCCCGCGGAGATCTTTTCGTCAAAGGAAAAATCGTCTGTTAGTGATGGTTGAGGAACTTTGCCCAGAAAAATCAAACGCATGCCTGGAAGAAATTGGCCCCCGAACTGAAATTTAATAGTTAATGCGGCCCTCGGACTGAAAAGTTTGGAGACCCCTGATCTACTCGAATGTAAACTTCATGTTGCTGATGTTAATATCACTACTGCCAATTTTAGTTCTTATGCTACTGAATCCGATATTTAATCAATTCTAATTGAATACAAATAATTGCTAATATTGATATCACTATTAGCAATATAGTTTTTCTTTCAACTATTAGATCCGCTGTTGTTGTTTTTCATATCACGGCAACCAAAGAGCCATTATATTCATTTAGTAAAGATAACATTTTGTAATTAAAAATATACAAAGTATGTTTTAACGTCCCAGATTAGCGTGAACCCCAATTTAAATTAAAGTATATACTAATACTTGCAGGAATTCCCCATCCAGTCAGATTCCAGGAACTGTGTGTTTGTGTTGTGAGGGAAAAACATTCAAACTTGACAGAACAGGATCTAAACGAGTTTTGTAACCAGATGTTTATAGATACCCGCATTTCCCCAGAAGAAGTTCCGGAAAAATTCTTTATCGTAGATTCTTTCCCGAAAACCTTCACGGGCAAAGTCCGGAGGAAAATGGTGGAAAAACTGGCCACTGAACATTTCCAACACTGATTGGCTACACACAGCCTTCGAGTCTATGTGTTATGGTTAATAGGTTTTTAACTCAATTTTCTATCTACATTTTTTTCAAACGTCACTTGGTAACAATGATATCACTGCTTGATAGTGTTGTTTTTATATGTCATAAGATCAATTATTGTAAAGAAAATTTTTTTTTTTTAGTTTCGTTTAAACATGGCCAAACCTGAAGATGTCTAAAGATAAAAATGTACAATTTGAATTACGACACAGTTGCTGATTTTTAATATATAAGTTTAAGGCAAATACCGAATGTTGAAGCATAAAAGTTTTAACGATTGTGTTAAAATATACTAGTCAGTGGCGTAGGCAGGGGGGGGGGGGGGGTTAGGGGGGGGTCATAACCCCCCCCCCCATAGACTCCTCGGTATATAGAAAAGTATGAGGGGGGTGCAAATCGAAAGTTTGAGGGGGGGGGGGTGCAAATCGAAAGTTTGTCCCCAGGTAAAAATTGGACCCCCCCCCCCCCCCCTTGAATCGATCCTGGCTACGCCACTGATTCTAGTATCGAAATATAAGCGTACATATATATTTGTTATAACACAAAGTTAAAGATAGGTGGATGAAATTTCATATGTCAGTATTATATCAAATTTGTAGTTCTGTGTCAACTTTTCAGTGATTTTTGAAAACCGGAAAAAGAACTTATTCTACTTTTGGTTTTTCAAACGCGTATAACGTGAGTGCTGTTTCAAATTGATATTCATATTTAAGTAAAAGATCTAATTCTTTGCCTTCTGTCAAATTTTCAGTTATTTCCGTTGAAATTAACGCTACTTCCGATTTCTTAAAAAGGCATATTACTTTATAAATTACTAATATTCCTCACTATTATACACATATTGTTTGCCGTTTACTTGGTAGCAATGCTTTTTTCTTCTAGATTCTATTCTATTTTTAAAAGTTTAAGTATTTAATGGATTAAAAATCATGTCTAGATCTATATCCCGACTTGCCATCCCCGGTGGTCTTATGTAAGTATATTCGAGAACATTCAGGGGAGATCACTCCCGTTTTATTATAGAACAGATCAAGCAGCTTTTTAAGTTTCTTTTTTTCTTTAAAATCATTT